ACGCATGACCTCATGTCACAATGGTTTGTATTGGCCCCGGATATATTTGTATAATGTTATCATATCCCCTCTGAAGCAATGTTTTTCTTAACTAAAGAGGTTTAAATTTGTTAACCTTTCTTCATAGATAAACTGTTCCATTCCTTTTATAAATTTTGTAGCCCGCCCAGTGGTGTATTTTGGATTTGTGCTGCCTTAGGTGCTCGGGCACCCTCCCTAATTTACAGACTGACAGACGCACACTCACTGATAGATGCATACACTCATTGACAGACACACACTCTCATATACACTGACAAACAATGACATACACACACTCACTGATTTGACACACTGATAGACAGACATACACTTACTCGGACACACACTCACTGACAGACATATGCACTCACTGACCAACACATACACACTGGCTGACCGACACACACATTCACTGACTGACACACACACACATTCACTGACACACACACACTCACTGACACACACACTCACATTCACTGACACACACTCACATTCACTGACACACATTCCCTGACACACACACACATTTCCTCCACTCACTTTTATAAAAAAATTTTTTTTTTTTATTGAAATCCACTCAGCCTCCCTACTTTTGGGATAGCTGGGTGGATATTTCACCTTGGTTCCAGTAGGGCTGCTGGGCAGGGAGGTGGCCGGACGTGCAGGCGGCGAGGGAGCACTTTCCCCTGAGCTCTCTGCTCAGCTCCCTCGCGTGCTGCAGACTGATGCTGGGAGCCGGAATATGACGTCATATTCTGGCTCCCGGCATTACTGCGAGTCGCACGAGGGAGCTGAGTAGAGAGCTCAGGGGAAAGTGCTCCCTCACCGCCCACCCGGGGGAGTCCAAAGATGACCAGCCGGCCAGCTCTTGGGCTCCCATAAAACGAGACAAACAAGGTATTTGCCTGGGCATTTGGGGGCGGCATTTTTGCAGCCCCTTGGAATTTGCCTTGTTTGCCTTGCGGCAAATACATCCCTGAGCCCACCTCATCACTTTTTCTAGTGCCATAATATCCTTCTTTAGAACAGGTGCCCAAAATTGCACAGCATATTCAAAATGTGGTCTTACCAGCGATTTATAAAGAGGCAAAATTATATTCTCATCCCAAGACTGAATGCCTTTTTTCATGCATGACAATCAGACATATGTCAATTTGGACGAAATCCGGGCAATTCAGACATTCGGATACTTCTGAATGTCCGAATAGCCAAATTGCCGAAGTTCCGAAATTGCCGAATTTCCGAAGTACAGTATTGCCGAAGTATTAATATACCTTCCCAGTGGAAGAATGAAGAATGTTACACTGTATACAAGTTTAAATAAAAAGTATACAAACATAGCCAGGATTCAGCTTTAAGCATTTGCAACACTTACAACAATCAAGTAACACACATTCATATAAAATGTAAGTTACTTAATAGCCAGTCAATGTAATAACAGGAATAAATAAGTAGATAACTCCCTAATTCCCACAGTATTAGGGAGCTATCCAGGGCCGGACTGGGAGAAAAATTCGGCCCGGGCATTTTTTTTAACACAGCGGCCCACTAAAAAGGGGGCGGGGCAGAGGAGGTGTGTTTTGTCATCACCAATGACAAACACGCCTCCTCTCAAAGTGAGCATGTTGGTTCAATGCTCTTCCAGGGCAGACCATGCGCAGAGCTCTGCTGAAGAGCTCTAGCATGAGAAAAAAGTCCTGTATTTGTTATGCACAGTGCAAGCAAATTTAATAACATGCTTGCACTGTGTTTCCTTGCAACTTGTCTCTGGTGTCTTTATAAATGGATACCAGGAGACAAAAGGCCAGGAAAGAGTATTGTGCATGTGTTTGGAGCCTGCTTGTGGTATTGCGTGTGTGTAGAGTGAGCTGGTCGTGGTGTGGTATTGTGTAATAAGGTCGGTTTTAGTCGTGTTGTGTTTGTGGTGTAATGTGATGCATATGTGGCTCAGGAACCCCCTCCCACACGGCTCTGGAAAGGGGTTAAAACTTACCTTTTCCAGCGCCGGGCGGGGAGCTCTCCTCCTCCGATCCGCCCCGTCGGCTGAATGCGCACACGCGGCAAGAGCTGCGCGCGCATTCAGCCGGTCGCATAGGAAAGCATTTATAATGCTTCCCTATGGACGCTTGCGTGCTCTCACTGTGATTTTCACAGTGAAAAGCACGCAAGCGCCTCTAGCGGCTGTCAATGAGACAGCTGCTAGAGGCTTTGGGGGAAGGCTTAACCCATTGATAAACATAGCAGTTTCTCTGAAACTGCTATGTTTATAAAACAATGGGTTAACCCTAGAAGGACCTGGCACCAAGACCACTTCATTAAGCTGAAGTGGTCTGGGTGGCTAGAGTGGTCCTTTAAGAGTGTAGTGTAGTGTAGTGTAGTGTGTGTGTGTGTGTGTGTGTGTATGTATATATATATATATATATTTGGAAGTATTGTGTATGTGTGTGGTGCAGTGTGTTGGGGGGGTTCTGTGTGTATGTGAGGGGTGCAGTATGTGTGTGTGTGAGGGGTGCGGTGTGTGTGAGGGGTGCGGTGTGTGTGTGTGAGGAGTGCTGTGTGTGAGAGTGCCGTGTGTGAGAGTGCCGTGTGTGTGTGAGAGTGCTGTGTGTGTGTGAGAGTGCTGTGTGTGTGATGGGTGTGAGAGTGCTGTGAGTGTGATGGGTGTGAGAGTGCTGTGTGTGATGGGTGAGAGAGTGCTGTGTGAGAGAGTGCTGTATGTGATGGGTGTGAGAGTGCTGTGTGAGATGGGTGTGAGAGTGCTGTGTGAGAGAGTGATGGGTGTGATGGGTGTGAGAGTGCTGTGTGTGATGGGTGTGAGAGTGCTGTGTGTGATGGGTGTGAGAGTGCTGTGTGAGATGGGTGTGAGAGTGCTGTGTGAGATGGGTGTGAGAGTGCTGTGTGTGATGGGTGTGAGAGTGCTGTATAAATGTTATTGTGTGTGTGTGTAGGGGGGGTAAATAAAACAAAAACAAAAAAAAACAGTCATTATGTCCCCCCCTCCCTTCTTACCTTTAGCCTGGGAGGGGGGGGACCGGCATGCTGGTGCCTGGGAGGCCGGGAGACAGTGTTCCCTGGTGGTCCTCGTGGGTGAGTGAACTCTAGCCTGTGAGGCTAGAGTTCACTCTCGCGAGATCCGGCCGTTGCCATGGCAACGCGCCGGATCTCGCGAGAGGAACCCAGCGGAGCTGCAAGTTAGAGCTCCGCCGGGTCCTCTCTCCAGCCTGGCTGGCTGTCTCCCTCTCTCCCCGCCGGCGGCCGCATGTGGGCCGGTCAGGGAGATCCTTGATCTCCCCACCGGCCCGTCGTGGCAAACAGCGGGGCCGGCGCTAGGAGAGTGCCGGCCCTGCATAGACCGGCAGGGGAGATCCTGTGATCTCCCCTGCCGGCCTCGGCCCATGGCCACCGCGGCCCACCGGGCATTTGCCCGGTGTGCCCGATGGCCAGTCCGGGCCTGGAGCTATCTATTAAAAGGCCGAAAGACCCAAATTTACAAATACTAAGTAAAGATTACTTAGTATTAGTAAATTATGCCCCTAATCGCTATAACGTGAGTAGGGGCATGTCTAGTAAACAGTAAAAAAAAAAAAAATGGGTCCGCGCGAGTGGGGTTTTTAAACTAAAGGGGGGACCTATTGCCCCCCCGGCCCCCACCCCTGTGTGGCGGCTGGGGTCCCTAAAGTAAAAAAAGTGGGGGACCCTATTGTCCTACCCCCCTGCCCCCACCCCTGAATGGCAGATGGGGGCCCTAAAGTAAAATAAGGGGGGACCTATTGTCCTCCCCCAGGCCCCTGCCCCTGAGTGGCGGGTGGGGGCCCTAAATACCAATAAGGGGGGGACCTATTGTCCTCCCTCCTGGCCCCCACCCCTGAGCGGTGGATAGGGGCCCTAAATACCAATAGGGGGGACTTATTGTCCTTCTCCCCCGGCCCCCACCCCTGAGCGGCGGGTGGGGGCCCTAAAGTAAATTAATGGGGGAGACCTATTTTCCTCCCCCCACGGCCCCCACCCATGAGTGGCGGGTAGGGGCCCTAAATTAGAATAAGGGGGACACCTATTGTCCTCTTCCCTGCCCCCACCCCTGAGTGGCGGGTGGGGGCCCTAAATTAAAATATAACCCCCCCAGGTGATTAGGTAAATCCCTCTGCAACAATGTAATATCTTTCTCACATTATATTACTTTACATAGTTTTGTGTCATCTGCAAACACTGGAACACGACTTTCAATGCTTTTTTCAAGATCATTTATAAACATGTTAAATAGAAGTTTCCAGAACAGAACCCTGAGGGACACCACTTGCCACCTCTGTCCAGCTTTAAAATTTACCATTAATGACAATGCTCTGTACTCTATTTTTAAACCAATGTTCTACCCAAGAACAATAATTTTCACCTAGACCAAGTTCTTTGAGTTTTAACACTAATCTATTGTATGGAACTGTATCAAATGCCTTGGCAAAATCCAAATAGATCACATCCACTGCAACACCCTGATCTATACTTCTACTTAATTCTTCGTAGAATGCAATCAAGTTAGTTTGACATGACCTATGCTTCATAAAACCATGCTGGTTTTGCTGATAACCACGTTCTTCTCAAGGAATTCTTGAATATTACCTTAATAACCTTTCAAATACTTTCCCAGCCACAGACGTTAAGCTCACAAGTCTATAATTTCCAGGCTAGGAATTTGAACCCTTTTTTTGAATATAGGAATCACATCTACCTTCCTCTAATCTTCAGTACACTTCCTGAAAGAAAAGAATCTTGAAAGATTAAAAACACTTGTTTCCACACTTAGTTCCTTAAGTACTCGTGGAAGAATACCGTCAGGCCCTGGAGCTTTGTTTATACAATGAACAAAATTATAAACGCAACACTTTTGTTTTTGTCCCCCATTTTTCATGAGCTGAACTCAAAGATCTAAGACTTTTTCTATGTACACAAAAGGTCTATTTCTCTCAAATATTGTTCACAAATCTGTCTGTGTTAGTGAACACTTCTCCTTTGCCAAGATAATCCATCCACCTCACAGTCTGCACATCTTAGAGTGGCCTTTTATTGTGGCCAGCCTAAGGCACACATTTGCAATAGTCATGCTGTCTAATCAGCATCTTGGTATGCCACACCTGTGAGGTGGATGGATTATCATGGCAAAGGAGAAGTGCTCACTAACACAGATTTAGACAGATTTGTGAACAATATTTGAAAGAAATAGGTCTTTTGTGTACATAGAAAAAGTGAGTTCAGCTTATGAAAAATGGGGGCTGTGACGGTCCCAAACCTCAGGACATGCTCGGTAGCCATTTTCCAGCCAATACAAGGAATGGGGGCGGGAGCGGGAAAATACCCCAAACCGCCTGGAATGCATTTTCGGCTAGGCCGGAAGCCAAACATTGGCAAATTTGGAACACGGCGCTTTTCGACTCAGGTGCGCGGATTACAGCGCTATTTTACCAGAGTACCGTACAAGGCACAAGGCATCGAATGACCCCCTGCTCATAGGTGAGTTCCTGAAGGAACCGGAGTTTTGTACGGGTCAAGCAAATCCCGAGCCATATCCCGCAACTTTGTGGAACTCAACGTCGGATCAGACACTAGCCGAATATCGCTGAATTTGGGACATCCACCTAATTCGGGCTAGCTAGCTTTTTGGACAGTAGTGGTGCATTCTACAGAGCTTTCAGGGAATATTAGTTTAACACCGAATTATGGTTATTTTATGTGTGTTTTCTATATTTTTGTAAAATATGCCGAGTCACGATGACAATGTGTTTTTATTATTACTGTATGAGCGTTTCATGGGTGTGTTTTGGGGTGTGTCATGGGTGTGCCTACTGTACTATTTTTTGTATAAATGTAAGCCAATTGGGGGGAATTAAGGAGTTCTTCTTCACCCTTCACTAAGCCACGGCTCGTGTTTGGGTGATCCTGCGGTTATCCCTTCGGCGACATCTATAATCACTCTGGCTATAATCACTATTCAGCAAGCTATAATCACTCTGGAGCTGATCACAACTGGAAGAGGCGACAACAGGCGGTACTAACCCATCTTCAGGAGGGTGTACCACCACAGGGGCAAAAACAAAAGTGCTGCGTTTATAATTGTTCAGTGTATTAACTTTAATATATTATTGCTCAGTTTATAGTTTATAGTTTAATGTAGTTGTTCAGGTATGATCTATAGCTCCCTGCAGGCAATCTAATGTAAACACTGTATTTTCAGAGAAAATACAGTGTTTACATTGATTTATAGGAATACCTCCAGTGGCCGTCACTCAGACGGCCACCAGAGGGACTTTCTATCATGCAGGGCCCTTAAAATACGTCTGACGTGTGCAGGAGAGAGAAGGCATTGTGTGCGTGCCTTCTCTCTCCTGCCTGTCAGCAGAGGAGAGGGGGCGGGCAAAGACTGCGAGCTGAGCTGTCAGTCAGCTCAGCTCGCGACCGCGCACACCACGCGCATGCGCGGTAGTGCGCTCAGGACTTCAGAGGGCGGCATGAATGTTGCCCTCTGAAGTATGTGCGTATATGCGGCGAAGCCGCGCATGCGCACAAGAGTGCAATGACGCTTTCAAATGGAAGCGTCTGATTGCTCCCTGCTCACACCTCTCTTTTTCGTCATTTTACGTCATTTTGACGAAATAGGGGGCGCGGCTTCACGAGGCTTCCGATGCTGGAACCAGGTGAGTAAAATTGTTTGCCTGGAGAGTCCCTTTAACCATGCACATCTGTGAATAAGCCATTTCAAAGCCTGTTATGTTCCTAGCAATATAATATAGTTTATGGAACAGCGCACACATAAAATACATTGTTCAAATTTTATAATGGTACTTAAACTCATCTCAGTCAAATATGGCCATATGGTGGTACTGAATCCCATATTTGTTTGCTGAGATAATAGATTTTAAGTAGCCTTAAAACATGTAAATGATGTATTTTCATGTGTGTGTTGTTCCTTAATCTGTATTATGTATACATTTTGGTCACTGCGGCAGCAACTTTACTGCAAAATGCATGGTGTTCCTGTTGTGCCCCATTTCCCTTTTGTCTTTACTATGTTCCTAGCAATAGTGATACCAGCAGGAAATACAAGTTTTTCCACAATATAGACAGTATTTGAATGTAACTTCTCAGCCTGGTGTCTAGGTTCAGCCTCAGGTACAACATAGGACAACAGTGATATTTATGCTATAAAAAGTACTTATCAAACTGATCCCTCCCAAAAGGACCTTCCAAAACTGAAGCCCATGGAACAACACAGTTAGGGGAGTGGGCCTTGACAGAGCCAGAGAGTAGGCAGGTGGATTTTAATAATGTGGGCAGGAATGTAGTAATTTGGTTATGGGGGTGGAGACTAAGGGGATATAGAGCGGCCATCTTAGAAAGTTGCCATTTTAATCATAAGCCTTCACTTACCTGTTAGTTTTCCCTCCCACCCTCCCTGTGGTTTAGAGGTAGTTCCCGTTTGGTCACAGCGGCGGGATTGGGCTTGGGTAAATTGGATGTAGGTGGAGTATCAAGTGGTCATGCCAAGGTTTAGGCTGGATTAGGCCGGGTGTTAAAGTGGTTGGTAGGTTCGAGCTCATCGGTGGCTCCGAACCTGGAGGTGTAGGGGTGTCTCGGTAGACCCCTACAGTTTAAACATTTGGATATGGGGCCTCTCTGGTAGGCCATGTGTTATATATTATGTGTTATTTATACTGTTATATATTGTTCATTGGTATGGGGTCATTGCCAGGGTTATTTTTGTACGGAGGGGGATTGTAGTAAAATAGCATTATGTGGCAATGACCCTAATTTGTTAATCTTGTTAATTATATATATGAATAAATAAAGCTGTGGACTTTATATTTCCAACAGAATATATGGTGTCTGTGTTTTATTAGGGATGGGGGTGAAATATGTCACATGCCAAATAATGACTATGCACGTCATGGAATCCTGACAATTTGAAATGATACAAAGCAGACGATCACTTCAACCATCTTTCGCCTCATTAGTGATGAGTTCCTCATATCCCTCTAGAATGAGCTAGAAGTAACATTGGACGGAGGTAGATCTTAGATATATGCAAATAAGCTAAAAAAGAATTTATGACTCTAAATACGAGCGCAATTTTATTAACTGGTGCTGATCATATTAATAAATTAATTAATTTGCTATAGTATTTTCCTTTTTGCATTCGCTTAAATGACCACTATAGTGCCTGGAAAACAAACTCATTTTCCTGGCGCTATAGGGTCGTTGGGTCCCCCCTACCCTCATGGTCCACCTCCTGCCGGGCTCTAGGGGGAGGAAGGGGTTAAATTCTTATGTTTCTCAAGCACCGGGCTTTCTCTGCGCTGAGGACTCTCCTCCCTCTTCCGACGTCATCAGCCGAATGCGCAATGCTTTCCTAAGGACGGCAGCGTCTTCTCACTGTGAAAATCTGGATTAACCCTAGTGTAAACATAGCAGTTTCTCTGCTGCAGGGTTAAAACTAGATGGACCTGGCACCCAGACCACTTTCTTTGAGCTGAAGTGGTCTGGGTGCCTGTAGTGGTCCTTTAATGCCGATGTACCAATTTCATTATAATTTGTTGAGAAGAGACATTATGAAGGGTAGTTAGCAGAGGCGTAACTAGAAACCAGGGGGCCCTGGTGCGAAAATTGCTCTGCTCCCCCCCTATAGGTACCCGCGCACCCACACATCCCCGTCCCCCCACACGTCCCCGCCCCCCACACACATGCAGACAAACAGATACACATGCAGACACACACACAGACACACACATACATGTAGACACACACATACATACAAGCACACATACACACAGAGACCCATATAGACATACATACATACACACATACATACACAAAAACATGTAGACACACACACATACATACAGACACACACATACATACAAACACACAGATACATACATAGTCCCCATAGTACCTGGCCTTATCTTGAGTATAGGACAGCCTTATGCCTATCCCACGCATGCTTAAACTACCTCACTGTGTTAACCTCTACCACTTTAGCTGGAAGGCTATTCCATGCATCCACTACGCTCTCAGTAAAGTAATACTTACTGATATTATTCTTAAATCTTTGCCCCTCTAATTTAAGACTATGTCCTCTTGGTAGTTTTTCTTCTTTTAAATATAGCCTCAACTGTGTTGAGTCCCTTTATGTATTTAAATGATAGAAAAAACATACACACAGGCACACACACAGTAACACATACATACATACAGACAGAAACACACACATACATACAGAGACATACATACAGACACACATACACTAACACACACATGCAAAATGTTTAGGTCACCCTCCTGTTTCCTACCTTTTAGGTGCAGGAGGGTGACTTTCCCTGGGGTCCAGAGGCTCAGGTTGATGGGAGTCAGAGTTCCACTCTGACTCCCTCCCCCCTTTCTCCTCCTGCGTGGCTCCCAGTGGTTGCTGGGAGGAAGTGACCGGGGCAGTTACTTCCTCCCAGCGTCCGACATCATCACAGGGGACCCGGTCACGCTGTTAAAGCGCCGCAGTGCTGACCATGCAACATGGAAATTAATTTCAACAGCATGGGCCACACGATGGGCCCTTTAACGTGCAGCCCCTGCCCTTACACTCCACGGGCCTTTGCCGCAACACATGGTGGTGGACACCTGGTCGCAGGGATTCGCAGGGCGGCTGGGTCCCCTTGAGTGATGGGCCCGGTCGCAGCTGTGACCCCTGTGACCCCGGTAGTTCCGCAGGTGACCTGTCACTTCTCAAGACTTACCTCTGCTGCAGTACTTACCTCCACCACACTTCTGTGTTTTTGGCAACTTTGTCACCTCGTGATGCCTCAGGCGCATGCATACATGCTTGA